ACAGTCTGTGTAGTGTGAGAGTCAGTGTAATGGTAGAATGACCTCTAGTGGCAATCGGCCGGAAGGCCACGGACCGGATTCGTGATAAACATAGCCTAAATGTTGCTTTATTATTATGTCTACACTCTCCCCTTCATGAATTGAGTTCCATGTAATGATATCTTACCCTATTAAAGCCACAGTGAGTCATTGGGGTCAACGCTGTGATCTTTATAGTCTAATGTCTGCTGATCTCATCTACCCTTTCAGCATCTGTAAGTTTCCCTAACGTTATTCTCGCTGCAAATACTGCAAGAGATGTGATTCTGTTTTTAGGGGGGACATGCTTTCTTCAAAATGTGTAACAATAAGGACACTTTGCCAAACTGATGCACATGTCCTCAGGCTCTCTTTATTTTCCAGACTGAGGCCTAAAGGAATATTCCGGGTTTAATACAAGTTAATCTAGGTTGACAGCATTTGTGGCATTATGTTGATTAAGCCTACCACATAAAATAAGTTTGACTCATCCCTCATTTTCTTTAAACACACACACACACACACACACACACACACACACAGGTTTATGTTTGTGAAAAGTGTGGACATCCCATAGGCGTAATGGTTTTTCTACTGTACAGACCGTATATTCTATTGCCCTACACCAACCCTACCCCTAAACCTACCCCTCACAGGAAACTCTGTACTATTTCAGATTTTCAATACACTCCATTCTGTGTGATTTATAAGCGTTTTGAAAAGTGGGGACATGGGGTAATGTCCTGAAAAGTCACCTTCTACTTGTAATACCTATGTCATACCTTTGTCATTATACAAATTGATGTCCTCATTTGTCACAAAAACGCGCACACACATACACACACACACACACACACACACACACACATGTCTGGTTCACTATGTAGGGACTCTCCATAGGCGTAATGGTTTTTGTACTGTACAGACTGTATTTTCTATCGCCCTACACCAACCCTACACCAAAACATAAAAAAACTAATTCTGAATGATTTAATAGCTCTGTAGGGGAAGTCGTGGCCTAATGGTTAGAGAGTCGGCCTCGTAACCCAAAGTTTGCAGGTTCGAGTCTTGTACCAGCAGGGATTGTAGGTGGGGAGAGTGAATGTACAGCACTCTTTCCCACCTGCAATACCGTGACTTAGGTGCCCTTGAGCAAGGCACTGAACCCCCAACTGCTCCCCGGATGCCTCAGCATAAGCGGCTGCCCACTGCTCCGGGTGTGTGTTCACTGCTGTGTGTGTGCACTTTGGATGGGTTAAATGTAGAGCACTAATTCCTAGTATGGATCACCACACTTGGCCACATGTCACGGCTCTTTTTTTTTTTAAATTTATAAGCTTTTGTACCCATGGGGACCTCAATTTAGAAAGTTAAATTATTTTATAGTTATTGTTATTAAAAGTCCCCATGAGTTGGTGTGTATTCAGGTTTAAGACCCCACCAGTGTAGAAAAACCTGTACACACACACACACACACACAAACAAGGTTCAGGTGAAGCACTTGGGAGTGAGTGGGAATTTTTTTAAATAGAAATGTGAAGCTTATAATTGTAGAAAAGCATTTAGGCCTTTTACAGTTGTTTTAGAAGTTATGGCCTTACCAATTAAGGATTTGCCCCATTCACTTCCATTGTATGTGCCTCACTGTAACCAGACATTTGAAAATGAGGGACAAGCTGAAATTCATTTTGATGCTGTGGATTGAACTAAACTCGTCCTGAACCCACATTATTTGTCTAAACTTGACAGTTGCCCTAGAAGCCTGGCCATGAGATTGCGACTGTTTCCGTGTGATTCTCTCCACACCTCGGTGCTGGACTCACTCTTTCCGCACGTCTGGAATCTTGGAATCCTCACCGCCAGCTCACTTTGAGTCAGCACCACTGTGAGAAATGTTTTAAACTGTTTGTCTTTTTCTGCTGGAAGTAGATGCCTGAGTGCATGTGTGGAGTTGTGTATGAATTGCCTCTTTGGTAGTGTGCAAGCAAAACGTGTAGACTGATGGGTGTGAGAAACAAATTTGTCGATCTTAACCCTGTTTACTTTTGTGAGTGTGCGTAAGTATCTCACAGATGCCCTCGAGGTTTATGGATCAGGGCCAGCTGTGATCCACCAATCAGCTGTAAGATGACAATGGTTTGTTTGACCCATAATGCTTTGCAATAAGCCCACAGGGCCTTTTGGAGTGTGTTGTCTGTGGGATGTTTCTCACCGTTAGCTGTTTGACACACATACACACACACACACACACACACGCTTGTACATGTCATATTTGGAAAACTCTGTGCCCACACAGTTTCTGCACACACACGCTCTGCTTAAATTTTCCTTTCTGTTGCCACTCAGTGTCCCTGATAAAGTGGTTTTTGCCAGCACATGCACATGCACATGCACATGGACACTCACACGCACACACACACACACGCACACACACACACAAACACAGCCACATGAATCTTTCTGTCTATCACAACATTCTGTGCAGTCTTTGCTGCAGGGCAAAAAATATTATCATTACCCAACTGACTGTCCGTATATTTACATGCGTAAATCTGATCCCAAATCACACCGTGCTGTCAGATTTAGCATGGATCTGATATATCTGTTATCTTTCAGCAACAAAGATTAGGATCTGACTTTGTATGACAGCCAGCTCATCCCACGAGTGGCTTGTCTATACCACGCTCAAGATTATTTACAGCTACAAATCTTTCTTACATCAAAATGTGAGATAAGAGATTAGAGTCAGTTTCAAAGGGTTGTTACTAACAGCATCAGTATTGGTAAGGTAAATTAGCGTGTCTGAGGAATTTTTAATGGAAATACCATTTGAGATTTTATGTATTTATTGTTGTTGTTGTTTTTTTTAAAGGAAGTTAACAATGCTTTTATTCAGCAAGATTGCATTACATTGATCAAAAAGACTATTTATTAAAGAATCCTGACAAAAATGCATCATGGTTTCCACAATATAAGCAGAAAAACTGTTTTCAAGAATGATAATGATAAAAATTTTATTTAGCACTAAATCAGCATATTAGAATGATTTCTGAAGGATCATGTGACACTGAAGACTGGAAAATTCAGCTTTGCCATCACTGGAATAAGTTTAAATATATTAAATTGGAAAACTGTTTTCAATTTTAAATTGTAGTAATATTATATAAAAAATCTATAAACATAATATTATATAAAAATTACTGTTTTTAATTGAATAAATGACTTGACTTACCTTAAACTTTTGAATGGTATTGTATACAGTATATTCTGAAAGTTGAAAAAAAGAAAAAAGGAAATGATATATTAAAAAAATTTTGGATACAAAATTATAATATAATATAATATTTAATAAAATATATGTATATCATTAGTGATGTATATCATTTTCACACAAAAACATATAGACATTTTCATAGTGTAACTGCAACAGTGACTTTGTGTGTGTGTGTGTTCTGCTGCATAAATGCTTATCTGCTTGCCAAATTGCCTGCCAGCCAAATCCAAAGTAAACAGAATAGATGTTGGGAAGAGATTGCCATTCCAGATTTACCTGCCCTGCACATAGCTGGGCAAAATCAATGTGTGTGTGTTTATGAGTTGTTATGCTCATAGCCAAACATGCAAGTGTTTCTGCTACGTTAAAGTCCATTACTGGCTGTGGGCACTCATGTGTGTGTGAGTGTGTGTATGTGTGCGGTTTTATGGTCTGTGCTCACAGTGGCCAAAGTGTTTGATGGTACATGTGAAGGTTTGAAAGAATGTGCATGTTTGGTTTCATATTTGTGCAAATGTGCGTGTGGTTTCTGAGAGGAGAGAGACAGCTGCCTTTTACAGCCCCAGGGGGTAATAAAGGAGGAAGGAGAGGCAGTTATTTGGGGTCTTTTATTGGGGCAGGAGGTAGAGAGGGGTTGGTTTTATTAGGGTCACATAATAACCATGTACAGCTGCAGGCATCACCCCAAACCTCTCCACATTCCACCATCACCTCCATTCTACCTTTGATTTTCTTTTTAAGAGTGAATACACGTAATTATGTCTATTAATCTGTATATACGCTCTTAACATCCTTGGATGTGATGGCGTACTGTGTATGATAGATACAGTATATGTAAAGTATATATGAATATGCATATGAGTGCACTGTGTGATGGTCCTCATTTCATTTTGACCCTGAGTTTCCATTCCCTCTTATGATCCTGCTCCTTGTTAAGCACATCTGCTGTCAATCATCTTCACCTTGTAACCCGACTGGCATTTCCTGCCTGGATTGGACAGTTGGCTTGTTTGCCTGGATCCATTTTATTTAACAGCTTTATCCTATTGGCTAGTTCAGAGTGTAATAAATGACCCACGGTCAACACTGTTCTGCACATCATAGCAAACAGAAATGTTAATGTTTGGAGTGGAAGATCAAGTTACTGGGGAAATTTCTTATTTGATGACTTACAGGTGTTTTTCATCCATTTTTATGTAACAATACATTTACATTCCATTCATTTGAATGACAATCAGTGCACTGAAAGTTTTGTAAAACTGTGAGCTGAAAGACAGGAACCAGAGACACACAGAGGGTGATAGTGATGAGAAAGAAGAAAGACTGAGATGGAAAAATCAGGGAGAGATGGAGGGGTGCAGAGGGACAGACAAGTTATTCTAGTTTCAGACAGCTGGCAGAAATACTAAAATAAGATGTGAACCTACCAGTGTGTCTGAGTGAGAAAAGAGAGTGGGAAGGAGTGTGGGTTTGTTAAAAAGTTCAAGGCAGTTTCTTTAATTTCTTCTTATTTTGAAATAAAATCAACTGACATTCATTCCATTGACATCATGGAACTGCCAGTAAGCTTCTGTGTGGATAAATGCTACTGATTGACAGAAAAACACTAACTCTTGGCAGTAACCTTTATTGTCCATGCACAGAAACAAATAATGAGTGCTGAAATTGTTTGTATAAATAAAAACATAATGAAAAAAGATTTTGGATGAAACTTCAGATTCAGGTTTTATTAAAATATATACAAAAAATTAAAGATGAAAAGAGAAGGTTGGGATTGGAGCTTCATGGGGTTCTAATTACAACTGACCCTTTGCTTAGCTCCGCGCCCTTTGGTACAGAATGTTACATAAGAATGAATTGGAGATTTCAACGAACAGTGTAATTTTGAATCAAATGTGCTCATAAAATGTTAAAATGTTGATTGGATATTGTGATGGAATGAATTGAAACATTTTATCTGCCTTTTGTATCTGTTTCAAATTATGCAGTAAGGTTTATAAACTGTGCCAACAGCAAATTAAAATCAAGGCAAAAACTTCTCATAATCAACTGAATATAGTCAAATTTACTGTAAATTAACAGTCAATTTTAATTAAAAAACTATCCAAATTTCGCAACACAGAAGTCATTTCAACCCAACTTGAACTTTTTCTGAAATCTGAGTGGGGAAATCTTTCACCCTTACTCGAAATTCCCATTAATGTAGATCACTACAAAAAACAACTGGATTTCGCCTGTGAAATTTTACAATAGTAAATATGACCGCACCTTGACTGATATTATTTCAGTGGTGATTTGGACTGTCTCACCAAAGTCTGGTTTCCAAGCTTCAGATTTCCAGATATTCATCTATGTGAAGGCCAACCCTTAAAAGTGCCTTTGAGCCCAAAATGATGTATTTGTTAAATGACAAATCAGGACCCAATTTCTCACATGAATTATTTGCATGGCTCTCTGAAGTATTATTCAAATACACTGTCAAAAAAGAAAAAAAAGAAAAGAAGAGATGAGATGAGGGAGAAAGGAAATAGATGATATAAAATCAAAGTCATTGTTTTTAACGATGAAAGAGAGTGATCTGGATGGATGTTCTTCCTGTTTCCTCATACTTTCACTCTCTGACATAAACTCTTGTGCACACGACATCGTCTGCGGTCATGGTCTGCCAAAAAAAGCAGGAAAAAGACTATTGAAATATCAGATATGATCAAAGACCCATGTGTGTGAAAGAGCTGTAAGGATAACACATAATAATAGGATTAAATCTTACCAGAATCAGTTCACCGTCATTGGTCATCTCCCTGGTCCATGAGGTTTTTGGACCCTCACCCTTCTGCAAAGTCTGTTCACAACTAATCTTGCTGTCTGTTTCCCAGCGAGGAAAGCTCTGAGAGAAACAGAGACAGGCAAATATGTGAAGGCAGTATTTTTCTTTGGAGATGGAAAGAGTGAGATCAGTGCCCATGAGAATGTGAGTTCCAGGGATGGAGGTTGAAGGAATGGGTGTGTATCCAGTTTGATAGCTCCTCTGAGATGGAGGGTGTGATTGAGTCCACATCAGAGATCAGGACTGCATAAACACACACACTTCATAGGTTCTTGCTCTTTTGCATGTTTTGGAAAAGGACAATTTGTCAGACAGACAGACAAATGGACAGTAGGATGACTGAAGTGTTTTTCTATGGGTGCGTGTGTACCGTGCAGGGACGTCCATCCACAGTGGCCTCATTAAACTCCTGTCCAACTGTGAAGGTGACATGGGTGGTCCTTACAGAGGTGGAGGTCTTGATTGACAGGGTTTCTCCGTCCTGCGTAATCTCCACAGATGGCTTTGATGCAGCTGCGACCGCAATCTTACGCAGCATCACGTTCACACCTGACAAAACACACACATGCAGATCAGAACAATCTCCCGAAGAACAGTGAGTACTCTGGCATCCATAGAGGTTATGGGGAATTCTTCATTCACACAGTTTAAAGGACAAAAAGGGGGATGAGAATGATTTTATTAAGATTGGCTGTGCTCCACACATCTGCGCTCGCTGCCGGCACTGTCTGATGACATCACCTGCTATTACCCCATAGAGAGAAACCCATTTGACACAAACACACACAATAGATCAACTGATATTCTGTAATCCCAACAAATACAGTACATAAATAAATGTTACATTAATATACTCATTTAATTGCTGATCACTATAATCCAGGACATATTTTAATAGGTTTTTGACACAAATAACTAAGTAACTGTCAGACTATAACAATGCATGCAAAATATTAATTATAATAATAATACTATATAATTATGAATATTTACTATTATAACATTTATTAATATTTATAATATATTTTTTGCTTTTAAAATACTATTCTGATAGTTACTAATATTTTCATTTTTTTTTAATACTATTATAAGTAAATAGTTAAATGGAATGAATATTATTATTACTATAAGTACTATTTTGTCTCCTTTTGGTTTATGTTTTTCACTTGAGAATGAGGTTGGAAATTAATTATGCAAAAAATGTATTGAGGTGTATTGAGGTGTAGTGATGGTGTTGGGACTGTTCGTTAAAGACCAACCAAATGGTGATTTATCAATAAGCCCAATATTAAAGAAACGATAACCAAGAGATAAGCATAAATATTTATAACTAAAAAATGGTCAAACCTATTGGTCAATTTCTAACACACACTACTTTATTTTTTGTGTACTACACATACATAAAAATCTAACTGTACATTCCGACAAACCGATTAAATACTGCATGTCAAATGGAGCCTGGCTGTGTGTGTGTGTGTGTAGGTGGGTGAACGCATTGAAAGGGGAAGTTATTCAACCAGCCACAGGGGATGCTGTAATCTATTAAACCTTCCTGACAGGAAATGGATTGACCACAGTTTGGAAGAAGGGAAGGGCAGAGGCAACAAAGAAAAAAGCATGGCACATTTGAAAAAAAGGGCAAGATTACTGACAAAAGAAGAAAAAATGAGCAAGAATGGCAGCAGGATACTCAAGGATAAAAAGGATACTCAAGTGTAAAAAAAGACAGCTAGATATAAAGGCCAGTCTGTGTGTGTATGTGTGTGTGTGTGTGTGTGTGTGTGTGTGTGTGTGTGTGTGAGAGAGTGCCTCTGTGGATCAGAATTTCACACTACTCACCTCACACACATTCCCACCTGTCACCAAGGGTAAATATATACAAGGGCAAGATTACTGACAAAAGAAGAAAAAATGAGCAAGAATGGCAGCAGGATACTCAAGGATAAAAAGGATACTCAAGTGTAAAAAAAGACAGCTAGATATAAAGGCCAGTCTGTGTGTGTATGTGTGTGTGTGTGTGTGTGTGTGTGTGTGTGTGTGTGTGTGAGAGAGAGCCTCTGTGGATCGAGTAGAATTTCACACTACTCACCTCACACACATTCCCACCTGTCACCAAGGGTAAATATATACACATGAAGGCAGACAAGAGGGGGCCGAAATTTAGACACACGTACAGGCATAGACGTGGAAACAAATTGCCAATACTCTAATGAGTTTTAGCATAAGCCATTAGCACATGCATATTCTTAGTGCAATAAACACAAGAAAACGGAAATTTAAACTTATTTACAAGCCCCATTCTCACTCTGAGAGTGTAATCCGGGCAGAACCTTGTTAAAAACATTAGTTAATTAAGTTCAACCGACTCCTGTCAGATCAAGCACTGCTTCAAACCCCATAACTAACTGAGAGAAGATGTAACAGGAGTCAGACGGTCAGGGTCAGTGTCATAGGTTAGGGGACAAAGGAAGTATTTCAGAATAGAGGGATGGAGATGAGGACACAAGATGGAGGAGGGTGGATGACAGGGTGCGTGGTGACACGTCGGGCTCATCTGTGCACTGAAATATTTGTGTGGCGAAAAGAATTTTAATGTGCCATTGCTGAAAGTGTGTGAATTTAAGAGAGTGTGCACATATGAATGCGCATGTGTGTCTGTGCAAAACATTAAAGCAAGTCGCAAAGTTCATTCCTCCATCAGCCAGTCTGTCAATCATGCACATTCCTCACATATAGCCACGCCCACTTCGGTTTTACGATGACATTTGTCCTCAGAAGGGTTCGTGTGGCTGCAGATCTCATCTCCTGAAATTTGGGGTATTCATATAACACATTGTCGGGCTCATCTGTGCACTGAAATATTTGTGTGGCGAAAAGAATTTTAATGTGCCATTGCTGAAAGTGTGTGAATTTAAGAGAGTGTGCACATATGAATGCGCATGTGTGTCTGTGCAAAACATTAAAGCAAGTCGCAAAGTTCATTCCTCCATCAGCCAGTCTGTCAATCATGCACATTCCTCACATATAGCCACGCCCCCTTCGGTTTTACGATGACATTTGTCCTCAGAAGGGTTCGTGTGGCTGCAGATCTCATCTCCTGAAATTTGGGGTATTCATATAACACAAGATGTTCCCATGCCAGAAACAGCGGGGCCTTTTCTCTCCATTGTGCTTCTCCTTCTCCGCACTCTTTAACCTGTCTGCTTCATCTCATCATTCTTTTGAATGGTGAAATGAAGGACCTACTCTTCCTTCTCAGGGAATCTGCTTCTTTTGTTCGACACAGGCAGTTGAAGAGGGGTGTTTGGGTGGCAGCAGTGCCCTAATTAAATCGGACGTCAGTCAAATTTTGGGAACCCACTGAAACTCCGGGATTCTGGCTTGACCAGTGGTAAATATTTAAACAAGAATTTCCGAATTGGTCGTCAAAGACAGCTAGTGAACTGACTTTCCAATATGTATGCACACTAAAAATGAGAGTGCGAGGCGTTTTTATGTACAAAGCTCCAGACAGGTATTGCTCAAGGAAATTGAGCGAAATAAACTCAACCCTGCCCAATCGGATACGCAGTGTCAATTGCTTTTTACCTGCTAGGTTTATTAAAACAAGTATACCTAATAAATAGTTAATTGTATCTAATAAATACTAAATGATAACTAGTAGCCTAACTATCTGTATATATAATTGACAGTAAAATAAATAAGTAGCCTACTAGTAACATAAAAACAGATACTGACTAGTTATATGGAATGAATATTAAAACGGTTTTGCATAGACACGCAAGAGAATTTATTGGTCTGTAGCGCAATCCATGCCCGCGCATTCAGGATTGGTTAGTCAATTTTGCGCACTCTTTGCGCGCGCGTGTGCATCATGATTAACACTTACCCAGTGCTTTGAGAAGCTCTTCGAAGTTCTCGGAGCTTTTCATTTTCCAAGTACCAGCAAAATCGGGGATTTTGCGATCCATCTTGCGTTCTGTCGTTCCTTTAAGTGTATCACTAGTGTTCTCTCTGGTGCGTGGCTGAGTGATAGTCCTTAAACCTGACACCCTTTACAATTACCTGCAACTTTGATTCTGAAAAGCAGTGTTCCCACTGATAATGCCAAACTGATTTTCCTCTTTCCTTTACCCTTCTAATGCTCTCTTTCATTCAGCTCTTCCAAACTTTACAGCTTGTGGTGAATAGGTTGAACCGAAAATTTGCGCCAGTTATCGGTGAGCGCACACACCCCTTCTTCGACTAACTCCTCCCTCTGTTTGCCCTGTCAAATCAAGGGACCAATGATATTTCGAGATGATTGTCTTTCCCCGCCCACACCACGCCCCGCTTAAAACATGTGCGCGTTTGAAAACGCCCATCAGAACTTTTTTGTATGCAGTTATTTATTTGCACGGTTTCCCCGAAAGATTTCAAGACTTTGTTTCTTAAAGTACATTGCAAAATATTGCTAGAATATACATAAACACACAGGCTCTACTGGCATGATCCACATTTATTGCAAAAGCATACAATAGGGAAATACACGAAATTAAATGGGAAATAAAAATGACAATGTAATGAATAATATAAATACAACGGGGATTCGTTTACATACAAATATAAGGATATAAAAATACATTATAATATAAAAATGTAAGGCTAATGGGGGTCTCTGGTCATGTGTTACGTTATTGGCATGTATGTTTCACACACACAAAAAAATAAAAATAATAATAACAGCGACAAGAAAACAAAAAAATGTAATTAAATGAAATTAAATAATAGAACAGACATTCAACAAGATGGGATGTAGGCTACTTTACAGATGTCTCACTCTCTGTGACAGATAAACAAGCTGTGCGCAAGTAGCTGTTGGACACACACATGTGAATATGATCATAAAACAATCAGGACACTTTGTCAGACTAATTGTTAAAACAGAGCTCTGTCAAGTTCAGTCTTTTCTCTCCTGTCCAAATCACAGCACACTCAAAACTCTCGTAACTGGATCTGTCTCCGCTGTGGTTATCCTCTTCCACGTTTGGGACTGAGGGAGACACGGAGGGTCTTCTGCGGGACCCTGGCGGGAGCGAGAGAACGCGAGTGAAGAGAATGACGCAGGCACAAAAGGTGACCTAGCAGAGGCCAGGAGGTTGCAGGAGCGTCCCCGAGGGTCTTTGGTCTCCCCCTCACCCCTGCTGTTGAAGCGGAAGAAAAGAACCGAGCATATGGGGGTAGGGTCTTGGTAAAAAGGTGGAGAGGCGAAGTTTGGGTCTCTAATGAAGACGCGGGCCATGGAGACTGGATGATGAATGTGAGTCGTACAAAGAAGTCGTTAACCATTTACTTTTGATGGATGGTCTTCCGCGCCACAGCGGTCTGCAGATTTTAATATGCGGGTTACCCGGGTGACAGCTTGGACCGCTCGCGCTGTGCAGTTACTCCGGTGTTGCCATGTCTGCTTATTATAAACGTATATATATATACATATATATATATTTTTTTGAAAAGGCGTTTACGAAATGGACAATCGCGGGGCCGGGCCCATTTTTGGCATCTTAACGCCCTATATAATTGTTTGACAGGAATGAAAACGAGGCTGTGAAAAATAAACGTAGGCTACAGTGCGTTCTAGGAATTGTACTAGCCTACTGTTGTTTAGCAACACGCCGACTGTTTAGCTTACGAAACGTCTTTCTGAGACAAAACCCCCATTAAAGCTGTGAGGTGTGAAAGTGATGTGTTCTTCTAGGACTTTTATACAGTGCCTATCATTGTAAAGAAGTCTCGTTTTCATCCATGTTAAATGCAGTATAGCATCTAACCTTATTACTTATGTTTGAAAATAAAGTATGACCACTTTCAGTAGCTTTCAAATACTATTCCAGCCACACTGGCATTATCAATCCCCACAGGTGTATAGAATTATTTATCAATAATAAATCAAAGATCTATAATATGTACATACATATAGATTATTTAAGTGTACATTTGCATATGTAACATATTTTAGTTAGGCCTATTTTTGTACAAGAATATAGGCCTAATAATTATTGAAAAATAACTATAATTTGTCACATTTTAGCCTAGTTTTGCCATTTTCCATCTTCCTTTTCCATAGCCTACTTAATATTAATCATACCAAACTGTTTGTTTTTCTTGCGAGACCTGGCAACACCGAATCACTTCACCATCGGACTCGCAGCCTACCAACACTTCAGTTTTACGATTATTAGTTTTAAACATCCCACACGAAGTGGTTCCTTATTGTAGGCCTTTCTTTCCCCGTTTATAGAGAGGAATGTAGCCCCCATGTTGACTAAACGCGACGCTTGTATTACAAGCACTTGACAGAGATAGCGCGAGGCGATGCGTCACACGTCACACACCTTGCCGATTGTGTTCACACAATAGCTTCATGTCCACACATGTTCCTCTTCGTACAACAACAACAGGCGATAGTCATTACACTCTCATATCAATGGAGCTATTTGTCTTCTTATCGCCGTCCTAATCTCTCCTTTACGGCGTCCTCTGCCTTTGTAGGTTTTTGTTGACTTTTTAACTTGTTAGCTGCTGGCCCTCAAGCAAGAGAGATAAGTTATCAACGGTATATCTAAATACCCCACTTAGTGGGTTGTGCCCACCATCAAGAAATTATGTTCAAAGATAAAGGCATTCTTGCATATGAAAACACACATTTGACCTAAGGAGAAACCAGTAGTGTGGAAACAGGTGAAAAATGAAATTAGCAAAGCAATTCAATTGATGTTTCCTGGTAAACATTTACAATATCTTGCCTGTCCTGGGTGGCCCATGACACCGAACACCCTCTCGCTCCTCTTTTCTGTAATCATCCCCCTTTTCCCCCCTCTTCGCCTTACCTATTTTCATTCCCACCCACTTATCTTTTGTTCTTTTGTGCTTAGGTCATTTTTTATTACTTTGTTCAGGCCTGGTGAAAGGAGGAAAGAATAAGTGAGAGAAAGAGATCAAAGCCCAACGGGGAATGACAAAGATGGAGAAAAGGATGAGAGACAAAGACAGAGAGAGAGAGAGAGTTGAAGGGTGTAAGGAGCAATGCAATGAGGGCATAAATATTTCTAGGCACTTTGAAAGAGGAATTAGGGTTTCATTTGACATTTCTCTCACTTCCCCTCCCTCTCTTCCTCTCACTCTTTCTGCTTCTCACTCTTCTTGCCAAAAAACTCAGCAGGGTAAGTGATACTCCGCTCTGGAGACTCACATAACCCCAAATACATGCCACCAGCACATTGGTTTACACGCTTAAGCCTGGAACACCACACACAATTGCACCTTCTCTCATCCATGACGCCACACGCTCATATGTTGTTTTCAATATGTTAGGAAAGGCATTTAGACACAATTATTTAGTATGATGTTCCCAAAACCTGACCCTGAATCTCACACAATCCTGTCAACATTATTAGTTTGAGAGCTAAACAGCCTTTTAAGTAGTGAAGACCACTTCAAAAGTCCACCCAAGTTGATTCTCAAATGTGTTTTGATTCTCTCACAAGTGTAGCCAAAGCTGCACACACCCACCCACCCACTGACTGACAAATAGGTCAATGACGTGATGTTCGTGTTAATTTATTCAAAAATACATAAATACAATGAATACACATCTTCTAAGAATTATTTAATTTCTGTAATAAAATTGACATTGATAGTTTTGGAGGGGCATATTGCAAAACATGTCAGGGTGATACAATGGTCCTGATATAATAAAGATTTTTTTTTTTTTAAGAATTCAATTCTTGAAGGGGAAAACTTAGTTTGTCATTATATATAATAATACATTAATACATTATAAATTATATTATGAATAAATAATTAAATAAATGTTTCACTGCTTTTTAATATTTATTTAATATAAAGCCACATCATCCAACTAACATGCCAAAAAAAAAAAAAGATATCATACCCTCATGATTGTGTGTAATATGATTGTCAACATGTCCTTTATTATTTCAGATAATTTGACCTTTTTATGACAAGACAAGCTTAGTTCATGTTGTAAAATGTAATGTGATACCACTCCACAAAAACGTATTCTTATGATATTTATGAATTAATAATTAACAATATCTTGAAAAATGTATTTAACATTTTTCCCAACTCTTATTCATTATCAACGTTATTAAAAATGGGAATTTTGTCTTTCCATCTTGCTCACACAAACACTCACTCATGTATCTGATGAAGGGCTGATTTATAGTGCATGCAGCTAAATTAATTTGGGTGAAGAAGTAAATCTAGATCATGCTTGACTATTTGACTCATTACCTCTATATATCCACCAGTACCCACTGAAACTTAACATGAACCACATGATTTCTTTAATCAAGCTGTTCCTCCTTTTTCGCCCCATGTTGTTCATTCTGTCTCAGTCCACCTTTTGCTCATTATGTTCCTCTTTCCATCTCCCCCTTTCCTCCTCCTTTATTCTCCCTCTTTTACACACACACACACACACACACACACACACACACACACACACACACACACACACACACACACACGCTCTCCCTCTAATCATTAATTCAGTCTTTATCCTATACTTTAGTCAAATCAGTCTCGGCCTGGTGAGGCAGTAGCCAAACATTCGTCTACCCATTATTGGCTGGCTTCTTATCTCTAAAATCACTTCCTACTGTCTTCTGTTCTCCATCCTGTTTCCATCTGAATAAAACACTCAAACACACACACTCATAATCTGGTAAATGTGGCTCATCTTTTTCTTGGTCACACTTCAGGCAAACCACAGCCACTCCACTAAACTTGACCTGACCTTTGACTTGGTGTCCTATGACACCAATTACTATCAGGCTGTGTTCTTTCTTCCCTTTGTTCTGAACAGGGGCATTTCAGAATCCAATATAGCAGAGTGAATGTTCTCAAGTTTTGTTTGTTGACCATGATCCAAAATGCTGCATAAATGAACTCTTTTACCTCAACAAACCTCAGTCATCTGGGGCTGCAGTAAGTGTGTGCGTTAAAATGGCACTCTAAATGAAAAGGCTCGTTCCTAACCCACCAGGCATCCATGTTAAGCGCTTTCTGTGCCAAAGCATTTGTTTCTTGTTTATTTTTCCCTGATGGTTTTAGTCTGGAGGTTGAAAGTCAGATTGAAAGACCATTTTCATGTTAGAACAATGCAAAAATATTGAACAGAGATGTTCA